CAAACTCACTTGTTCTCGTGTTGTCGCTCGACCTCGTCCGCCCCTCCCCGTGGTAACAGCTTCGGCCACGTGATGGCAGCATCACTGGGTGAGCTGCAGATGGCCGCGCTGATGCTCTTTCGCCATGACTGCTTCACGGAAGATTGATTCGCCGAATCATGATAACTTGACAGAGAATAATCGCAGACATGATTTAGGTTAGCGTTGCCCGGTAGTCATTTAGTCCCGTTACTTGATGAATGGAGCTCGGATAACCACGCCGTACCCTGCGGCTCTGATCGCATTTCCGTCCTGGCAATACGGTTGGATTTACGATTCACTCGAAGCTCTTGTTTGGAAATGGCAATCCTGATATTGCTTTTTGTTTTGAAATGTGTAGATAGCATCAATTACGAAAACGGCATGGCATCATAGCAACATGACATCCGCGTTGGCAGCCAATCAATTTTAACAGGAAGACTGAGGACAACGGTGGAGGGCATCCACCATTTTGTGTCTTTCGGTGGCCGTCACTTATATGTGCATTTTTTTGCTGTCCGCTGGCTGGTGCAGTCCCTAAGCCCCGAGAATTGCAAGGGTCACCTGGATATACAGTGAAACTCCTCTACAATGAAATCATGTTTGCTGCAAGAAATTTTTCACAACAGGAGACTTTTCACTGGAGCAAATTTGATCTGAGACGTAAACACGAACACACACAAAAACCGTATTTGTGTACTTTTAAATTTTTATTCCAATAGTGCATAAGTATGAGCATACACTTATTTGACACTTCATATTGCTAGCGTAGAAAGAAAAAAAGGGAAAGAAATTGCGAAATTTACGATCAGCATTTACTTGCACTTACATCAATTACTTGCGTAATGTCTTTTATTTTGCTTCCTCCATCTTTCATTTTTATTACCTTTATCCTGTCTTCAAGTGTTAATCTTTTCTTTTCTTAATTCCTTGGTATGCAAAGATCCGTTTTGTCGCCATTTTAGCAATGCAACGTTCGTCCTGCATCTGAAACAAATACTGGCTGTACTACTGCGCCTGTGCAAACCACTGTGGTGGTTGCTGTTGCCGTTTCCGAACAAAGCAGTAGAGGTCACTGCGGCATGCTGAGTTTGGATTAGAAGAGCAGAGAAAAAAGATTTTGAGTAACGGAAGAGGGGGACTTTTCGTTGTAGGGGGAGCAGAAAAGTGGGAATGGCTTTCATGCATGAAATTTTTTTTCACACTAGGGGGTATTTTCGCCCATGTAGGTTTCGTTATAGAGGAGTTTCACTGTAGTTTCCAGGATTTTGTTCCTCTTCTTTGTTTTTTTTTTTAAATTTATCAATAACATCGGCTCAGTGTTTACATCTAAATGGGTCAATAAGTTGTTCGTTGGCCAGTGGGCTACCTGTCCTGGTTGCGTATCCTCACACAGCTTGTTGTGCTCTCCAGTTCTTTGACCGTCTCACACTGTTCGGCATGCCAGCCAAGCACCAGCCAGATTTCATCTACCTGCGTCACGTACCCCTGAGGAAGGTGCATCTGTTCACTTTCATCCAGCTCAGCTGTTTGATTCTTCTCTGGGTCATCAAGACTTCCAAGGCCGCCATCGTCTTCCCCATGATGGTGAGCCCTCGACGCAGCTCACGTTGACTCATCTTTGTCTGATGTCGTCACGCGTTCATCGGCATAGGTCTCAAACCCTGGTCCTGCATCTTTTCGATGTTTGCCTCCTCCAACACACCCGATTCAAATGATCAGCTCAGCAGCAAGCAAGCAGTCTACACCATCTAAGCACTTCCTGTCAAACATTTTGACAGTTTCCCTCGGTGCAGCGCCATCTTGAGCATCTTTATGTTGCTCCCTCAGGTGCTGGCTCTGGTGTTCATCAGGAAACTGTTGGACTTCATCTTCTCAAAGAGAGAGCTGAGCTGGTTGGACGACCTCATGCCAGAGAGCAAGAAAAAGAAGCTGGAGGACGCCGAGGAGGTTGCGGCATTTGCTTCGTTTTCCTGCGCGCCGAATGCGAATTGTTTCACTCCTCAAACGGGTTCTATTCTTTCAATCTTTAGGAGGAAGAGCAGAGTATCCTAGCTGAGGACGAAGGCGCAGTGCAGGTGCCCTTGGAGGAATGCAAGTAAGCATTATCTGCCTGTTACACGTCATCTGTTTATGTCTAACTATTCGGGATTTATGGAATCTTATCGCACTCGACGTATCGAGACGGGTATGGAATTGTCTTTTACTGGGTAGTGATACACCCCCCCTAATGATTACCCCCCGTGTCGCTTCATCCCTCGTCTTCCGCAGAGGGTTACCCATCATCAACATCACGGACGAGATGTCCAAAGGTTCTTTTGGCAACACTTGGAACGCCACAAGCTAGGACGTTTGCAAAGACATCAACGCATGTTACGGTAAGCGCTTCAGAATGGCGCGTCGAGCTTCAGTTATTCCTTGACTGTATGTCATCTGAAAATTTAAACTTGTGTGTTCCAACACATGGGAAAACATTTCATTTATGAATACTAACACCCCAAATTCACCACTTCCAGTTCATGTGTGAACATAAAACAACGAGAAGTACAGTTCTTCAAAATTTCCAATGCACTTTTTACATGTTAATTAAGCATCTTATTTCCTACGCTGTCAGGTGAACATTTTGCCGGTCCCAAACCCCACACACATCATTCAAAAGTGTCATAAGGAAAAACTAAGTATGGCAACTACTACTGTGTTAGTGTTGTTGTTTTTTTTTTTTTTATAATTATAAACCCATCATATATGTAACGTGTGTCATTGGATAACCGTCTGAAGCCATGTGAGGAAGGCTCATTGTCTCATGTTTAACACTTTGTCGAGGTCAAGCCGGCCTTATTAATCGAGCACTTTGTATTTCTTTTGTAATATGCTTCTGTTGTTTGCTTCTAGTTGTCTTCAGATTTATTGATTAAAAGGGAGAAAGCCGTCGTGCAATAACAAAGTGATGACATTGGTTACCGTCCGTGTGCGCACACGATTGTAACTTGTCATAACTTCTCATCCCTAAATGATATTTTGTGTTGTTTACTTGATATATTTGCAACATTGATCCAATAATTTCATCCCGAAGAATGTAAATAATCCTTTGGTATAGTTTCATGTTGCTGTACGGCTTTTGTGTCACAATTGTGCAATTTAAATCACTGATCGTCAGCTGTCTGCACTTGTTACCATCCATAAACTATTGAACAAGCAAAACTCGATAATATTTGGTGTCATTTTTGCCGGATACATTTGAGTGCATGGTTGTTGGTTTTTGTGGACTTTTGAAAGGATTCAGCATTGAAGCATCGGTAAGTTTTATGAAACGCCAACTCACCAGGCTCCGCCGGCCGTTCGTGGCTGATCACGTGACGACCTCATCCCATTTCATAATGGTTGTGAGTTTTGTCTCGGATCCAGTTGAAGGTCACACAAGTAGCACCAAAGTGGTACTCGTCGTGGAATTAACATACTGGTACATGATGTTGCAACGCAAAAATTACTTTCCGTACAGAACTGTGAGGCGGATATGCTAACCACTAGTCCACTGTGCCGCCAGGACCATAACATTCATTCCTAAATTCTCCTGCATTCGTATCATAGATAAAATGAGTGTAATACGCTTTCGATTCATTAATTTTTGTCTACTATTACTCAAGTCTGAAAAAAAAAATCGTAGCCTCACCTCACATAAACATCCGTTGCATTGTTCCGAGTATCTGTCGCAATCGTTATTCTAATTGGCCTATTTATAGAAAATATGACCGTGGAGTGGCCCGAGGTTTGCCTGACGAATGTTTGACAAGCTTTCAGATGACAGCTAAGAGAGGCGATGCCTCCCAAAGCGCGTCACGCACGTTATTATTTCAGAGGAGGCGTCGGAGAGTGACGACCCGCCGCTTGTTGGTCGACAAGCTGATTGACAGCATTTCCCTTTTCTTTGGCTTTGCTGTGGGACGTCATTCTCTCGTGACATGCTCACGCATCAATCTGTTTCCGCTTTTCTCGCTAGAAAAACAATCGTGAGAAAAGAATCAATGTGAATTGAATGCGTGTCATATAAAATTGTACGGAGAATGAACAAATAGATGAATGTTACAATTTTACAATTACTGTGACCCTACAACTCCCCAAATTTCCACCCCACCCCCTAAAATAACAACTTTTTAAAAATAGCTAATTATGAAACAGATTTTTTTTCATTGGAAAGCAGCAACATACCAGATATGACAAAATGCTCAAAATTGCATAATTCTACCAATTATGAAAACGATTATAAAGATCAAAAATAGGTTGATTTTAAATCTAGCTTATAAACACATGTAAATAACTGCTACAGTATTTGTATAGGATCAGCATCAAGCTTGCCGCGCACGGTAAAAATCCACGGGTAATTGATGACGCTGCAATTCGGTTTCTAAATGGCATGTAGATTCCATAAGATAGCACCAAAACACTACTTTTGTATTAGCCTGGGCTTGGACTTGTCTCACAGAAACTGATTTCTTGGCACAAGATGGTGCCAAAGCACTACTTTTTGTCTCCATGAAGCTCCGTAAACTCACTTCAACAGGGTTCCTTGTCACGGGGATGCCACGAGATGACAACAAAGCACTACCCCCCCCCCACCCCCCAGCCCCCCCAATACAAAATATAAATGCATATCTGTGTAATGCAACAACTCTCCATAGAACACATTTGGTAAAAATATGCGCACAGCCAAAACTTTTATGAAGATGGTCAGCAGCCTTTATATTGTAATGCACACAGATGAAATCAAATGAAATACCCTTTATTGCACTCAGTCTGTTTTGTAGGGAGGAGATAAAAGAAAAATACTTCCCAGTCATATTAATGTGAGCATGAGAGATTTCTTTCACTGGGTTCAACCCTTACTGAAGCACATGATCTGTAAATAACAACGAAAAATGACAAGAAGACGACCAAGGAAAAGGATGGTACACTTTGTGACACATTTAATGATTGCACAGAGTCAGTTGTGGAGACGCAGAGGCGCAGCGTGACGTCGGCTGGGCGCGCCGCCTCGGCGTCTACTGCCGTCTGCCTCGGCCGGCCTTGAGCCAGCTCACAAACTCCTTGGCTGCCTGGTCCTGCAGGTAGGCGCTCATGTCGCTGGTGAAGGTGCCGTCTGCATGGCGCCGAATTACACTTCTGCTGAACATGACCACAGAGTCACTCAACACTGTTTACAATTTCCCATTCACTTGAAAAAGAGACGCGAGCGACTCTTTGACATCACACCGGTTGACCGTGGTGTCACTAAGAGGTGTAGTAGCACCTTACCAGACCCTGCAGCTAGCACAGTTTTTCTTTCACATTACTACGTATCAGAAGTGTCAAACATATAGCCTGCGGGTGTTAGATTGACTAATTTTTGACCAATCTAACATGTTGAAAATGTTTTGCGCTCTTTGAAGGTGTAATGTTAATGGTTGAACAAACATGCCGCTTTTGGGGTGATGATTTTAGGGGCAGGAGGACCCCTCTCCATCGCGGGTTGCAGGATCGTGGTCCCGCTATTTTGCGGATTTTTGTGTATGCAGGTAAGAACTGTTTTGGTTTAACTCGCGTTTGTAGTGAGTGTAGTTCCATTGTCTACCACGAGATGGCGGCAAGCGTTAGTGTGAGACAGTGTAAATTTAAAATATTTCAGCACCCCCTTGTTTTGTCTAAAATCAATGTCATACGCTCTAATCCTGCCTTTTACGCCTACAAAAAATGGTGGATGTAGATTCATTTTATAATGGCTTCATTATTGACGTATATTGTCAGATGATAAATTTGTTGCTGGGGGGGATGGGATGTGTTTATTCTAGACACATACATGCATTGATACATAAGCTGTTACACTGTCTGTACAACATTTTTGTCTTATCTATTGCTCTTGTGAATATAATATTATAAATAACACACTTGAGACACGAAGTGAGCACAGCATCGGTTGTTCAAGACTGAAGCTGACGTTTTGAAAAGGCAACACTCACCCGTTCCGTTTTGAGTTCTTGAGCCACTGAACAAAGTCTTGAGCTCTTCTCGTTTCCAGGTATTTACTGTAGTCGTTGGAAAACGTTCCCTCGGAATGTCTCTTCATGCTGGAGAGCTCGAGAGGTTCACTCGAAATGGAGTTCTCACTTAAAACCCTGGAAAAATGAAGATGAAGCAACTCCAGGTAACTACTTTTTTTTGATTACGTAACAAATGCAGTCAAGTTGAGTGATGTGTGTGATTTCTTCCAAGTCAATGAATTAAAAAAAAAAACAACCTTTTAAAGAAGATTTATGTTTAAATTGATTTTGTTTTTAATGTGTTTAAAATAAACCGATTTAAGTCAACGATAGGTTTTAGGAAGTAAAATCATGTGATTGAAGTCAAATACTGTAAAGGAAAAAAAGTCATCTTTAAATCATACAAAGCCCCAAAAACTACATTAATTGTGTGTATTATCATTAAGTCTTAGTTTTGAATTTTGTAAATAACATCACAGTTTGCAAATTTAAGCTACCTGAGCACATGACATGTCGTCGGACATTAAGCATAATTGCCTAATTTTTCAATATTTTTGGAAAACAAAAGCACAGACATTGGAATTCAAATTGTATTTTTTTTTCCCTTTCGCCTACTTGTTCAAACATCTGGCCGAATTTTTTTTAACATTATCAATCAAAAAAATGATGAATGTGTGTTGCAAAAATTGTTTGTCTTCCAAAAATATTGACGACTTGGGCAATTATGCTATGTGGCCGACGATACACAAAATGTCAAATTAAGTCACAATGATCATCCTTATAATCAATAATCTCCTTTGATATCAGCTACAATTGTAGCTGAAATGTTTTTCCAAACATCCAATTCACAACCGAAACAGTGCTCAATGAGTGCAAGTGACTCATCGGCGAGTGTGGTACGAGTCGTCCTTACGCAGAGTTTGTGTCATGGTCAGGCAACTGCAGGCTGCTTTGGACGATGATGAGGATCAGGAGTCCGGCTAAAGAGTGAGCGTGTTCCATCCTTCAAGCGCCTGTCACAAGAAGTCACAGGTAAAAAAAAAAACAAAAAACCCAAAAGCAGTGATAGAAGCAACACAAGTCTCACCAGTTGCCTAAATGTCTGATGGGGATTTCGGTAGTTGCGTGGAATGGCGGCCCTCTTCCTCCTCGCGGCGTCCTGATGCGTTTCATGGCCGACTCTTGGTGCGCTCCGTCTTTTATAGTGGCGAGCGGGCGCACTCCTCCCAGGTGACTCCTCCGTCACTGGAACCTCAACATCTTCGCTTTCACGCTTGCTCCATTAATCAGCTTCTGTCTCATTGAATCTATTTGACTCCGACAAACACCGCGGGTGCGACATGTGGTCAGGAAAAAAAGCTCCCGTCTTCGCACGTACGATGACTTAATTGCCCAGCCGTTCATTTCGGGTGAGTCGCTTGGCGGTCAAAAATAAATTTACAACCATGATTCTTGCCTGAGTTTTGTCAAAAAGAGAACTCGGCAAAAAATGTATTTGAATCGAATTTGGCCTTGTATTGCCCCATCCGTGCCTGCCTTCGGGCTCGCATTACGAACGTCATGGAAAGCTGTGTGTTATGAAATCCCAAATTTTCCTGTTTTTAGATCAGTGAAAGAGACCAAAAATATTTCCATTTGCTAAATTCCAGAATGACATTAAAAAAAAAAAAGATTCATTACTTTCTTCAAAGTCATATGTTTGAATCCATTTCATGAGTATTTCGTAAGATTGCCTTTAAATTGTATGACTTGCTCAAATATTTTTCATCTCCTTCCGCGAGCTTTCTCGGCCCTTGCAAATCTGTCCATTAATCTTCAGGAGGATTGATCTCGAGGCTTTGGCATGGCCAGTTTTGCTTTGGTCATAATCAACAATCATTTTCACAAATAACTCGTACAGTCACTTTGAGTGGTCCTATATTTCATTTATTTCAAAAAAAAAAAGTCACTGTAAAACATGAATGCTGATTTTCATCACCCCAAAAAAAAAAAAGTCTGTAAAATGTACAGAAGTCAACTGAACACAATAGTGTTCCAAAATAAATGCGTTTTGCTCACATTCATTTGTCATTAACAAGACATTTCTTGAGGAAGTTACTCATGAGGGCGTACACGTGCCGGATGGCTCCTTTGAGGGAATGGTCCTTGTCTGTGTACCACTGAAAGAACAAAAAAATTAATTAATTAATTAAAAAAAAAGGAGAAATGCAAAATGCGTCGTTTGCAGCCAGCAGAAAAAGACGTTTCCCCACTTTCCATCCATTCCCATTCATTCATGAAATCAAACACCGTCGGGGTCAATATTATTTCACCGCTTCCCAACGAGCCAATATTTACCATAGCCTCGAAGTCAACCTGCTCGTCCACCAGAGCCGTGTTGAGCTTCGCTGCCTGCTGGAAGTGGACATTGTCTACGGGAAACACACGGCGTCCTGATGTTATTTGCTCGTTCCATTTTCCGTGCCGTCAGACACGAGTCCATTTGCGCAAAGAGAGAGCGTTGCGCCGGGCCAACGTGAAAACAAAATCAGATGCACTCACCGTCTGCTGTGCCGTGGATAAGCAAAAACTGCGTACCCTTGAACTTCCCTGCTCGGGCTAAAACTGAAGAATTCTGCTCAAGGAAAGAAATATTAAAGGCCAGTTTAAAGTGGTCAATATGAATTTGTCTTTCCTTTGGCTTTCTCGTCGCCGCACTACTTCCAGTATGTGAGAGTCCAATCAGAGGGTGTTGCCATGTCACTCTAATCTGCACATCGGCTTCTGAACTTCACGCTGGGCGATCTAACTTTGATATTAGCAGTGAGACTTTTGTTTATTGATTTTTTTTTTTTTTTAACTGAATCAGATTTCAAAAGTGCCTCACAATTGCCACTTCGCTGGCCCACAACCTTGCTAGAATTGTTCCATCCTCTGATTAGTTGGTCAGAGCAAGTAAGACCGTAAAGCAAATAAGTCGTCAGGTCTCCACCGAAGAAGCGGCGACCAAATGCGCGGCCCGCCACCCGCGGTACGATACACAACAGGAATGTTACAACCGCTTACCTCATAACCCATTTTATTGTCTTGAGGTGTGCCCATGTAGCGTTCAGTGTAGACAGCATCTGCGGGCAAAATGGTCTTTGTTAATTCTGAATTTTTCAAGACAAATTTGCATGCTGACAGAACATATGCAAATTGCCATAGAATTGTCGCGGAAGTACTTTTTACACGTAAAAGCAATTGTTTAGCTGCTTGTTTTAACGGGTAAAACCCCAGTTCCCAAAATGGTCAATGAAGATACCATTGAAGTCATCGATTCAAAAGCTGAACTCCAAACAATTGTCGATGAATCCTCTACGACACGATACCAAAAACAGGTGTTTCCACGCGCGCGCACCTCCTCAAAATGGAAACTCAGGGCTGTGCCAAGCAAAGTGGCAGACATAAGCTGGCACCCTGTACCAATCGGCAGATGTCCCACCGCAGTTCAGCTCCACTGGCAGGATTCACTTTTTAAGTTTTTTTATGGGAGGGAAAAAACAAAAAAAGCATCTGGTGTGGAAACTCAGCTGATTTGCTGTGAATGGTGCAGTAGTGTGTGTGTGTGTGTGTGTGTGTGTGTGTGTGTGTGTGTGTGTGTGTGTGTGTGTGTGAATATTTAATGTTGTCATAAGTGGAAATATTTTGCAGCTCTGGAATGGGAATTTTGACATTTAACAGTGGCACCATATGTAGAGCTTTATTAAATAAGTTTTACTGACATCCGATCGTTCTGTTGGTGTTTCCTTGAGCGTAGCTCCATCTACTGGAGGCATTGTAAATTGCGTCTTATAATTCGGTGCGCCCAATTATGAAAAAAATTACAAAATAGGCCATTCGTTGAAGGTGCGCCTCATAATCCAGTTCGCCTTTCAGTGCGGAAAATACGGTATATATGTGTATATGTGTATCTTTACAAAGATACCCACATTACATCTCCATTGACCCACCATATGTAGAGTATTTCGGCATACCCACCATACATTTGCCAACTGGCGACTGGAGCAACCGCAATCCCACACTTGAAAAGGCCGCTTCCAGCGCCCAGGGCCATCGAGGTAACGTAACCGCCGTAAGACTGAAAATCAATGACGGAAAATGGTCCTCCAAAAATAAATGAAACAAAATGAGATCAAATCCAATGTCGAACTTACCCAGCCCCAAATAGCTATCCGGTCTTTGTCAACAAAACGCATCTTGGCAAAGTTCCTAAAAATGGACCGCAGCGATGAGTGGTACATTTGGGTTTCGTTCCGGAGTCACGACGTACTTCTTTACCTGACCGCCTCCATCTGATCCTCCACCTCAATCGTTCCGAGACGCCGGTAGATGGCGTGCATGATCTTGTCGCCTTGGTAACCGCTTCCTCTTCCGTCAAATCTGGCGACGATGATCCCGTAGGTGCTGGCCAGGAAGGTGCTCCAGTTCAGCTTGAAACGATAATCCACTCTTTGACTACAGGGGCCACCGTACCTGCGGGAGGGACAGTTCGGCGGCATGAGTCCAAATGAATTTCTGGACCGAGTTGTGCACCTCTTTTGTTCACTTACACGTCAAGAAGCAGAGGGTACCGTCTGGAGGACAGAAAATTAGGCGGTAACATCATCTCATACGAGAGATCTGTTGAAACATCATTCAAAAATGTTCCATTTTTCGATGACCTCAAATGGATCGCTCGGCGGGGGTTGTCTTACCAAATCCTGCGATGTTGAAGGTGCCGTACTTCATCGTTGGCATTTGGAACTGCTGGAGAATGTTCTCAATTTCTTTGTTTTCTTCAAGAGTGGCGAGCACTACATAAACCGCCACAAAAAATGATTTGACTCGTGTTCATTCAGTTCAATCGAACATGAATTGGATATTACATATTCATATTCATAATAATTTGACAACATGTTTATCAGTAGCTAGGCAGTACCTCGGTGCTGTCACAATAAAAAAAAATAAAAATAAAAATCAAAGTTCCAAGAGGTGATACTTCATAAAAGGATCGTTTATTTTCACTCCCAGAAAATGAATACTATATCGACTTCGCATTTTGTTGTGAGCCACTTTCACATCATTGGTTTTTGTTCCGTTCCACTTTTGTGTTTCATAAAACATTAACAAATTTGTCATGTTGAACTAAAAAGTGTGGACGGAAAGTGAATCAGCCCATTTGTAATGGCCGATCTGACAATGAACTTGTGGCTGCTAGACTGTGTGTGTATGTGTGTGTATGTGTGTGTGTGTGTGTGTGTGTGTGTGTGTGTGTGTGTGTGTGTGTGTGTGTGTGTGTGTGTGTGTGTGCGTGCGCGTATACCTACAGGCATTTGCACCTGGGCCTCGATTATCCATGAGCGTGAAGCGAGGAAAACCCGGCCCTGGTCCACACAAACACGGTGAAAATAAGTGTCATAAATGGACACGATAGTTCACACACCACCGCATTTGAGCACAGGTTGATTGTAGGCGCCAAATGCGCGCAACTGACCGTAACAGTCCATGCGGTAATACGAGGCGTCAGTGCTGAAGTAAGCCAAGTTGTACTGACACCTGTCCTTGTCGTCGTTGCAGGTGAGGCACTCGCGAGGGGAAGGTACGACTCCGATCGCCACCCTGATGCGCAAGGGAACACGCAAGTACTCAGGTGCGCAATGGAACTCGCGTCAATTCTTCGTTTACGGGCTCATGTGTTCAAAGTGTGCGGATTCAATACTGTCCAGTGTTTCCCAGCTTTTACAATATTTTCAGGGACAGGCCTTTAAAGTGTGATGGATAAATACAACAAAAGAATTTGATATGACCTGCATGAAAACTGGGGTATTTTCCGAACATAATAATGAACACGAATCATGACACGAGGAACGTCCGATCTGGCCGCAACAAAGAATAGCTTACTTGTAAACATGTCTCTTCGCAGGCGTCCCCCCATCTTCATAACCGACAAAATATCTGTGGGAATAGAAGGTTAGTCAGACCACATTTTATTTATTTATTTTTTTTAAAACAAAGCTTCCGCAGGTGACCGAACCCGATTGTCACTCACATGGCATCTTTCGTCAGCTTGGTGATGTAAATGACTTCCCACTTGCCCGAGGTAATCGGTGTCGCCTTGCCCTTCAAAAGATGCCTCAAGTCAGTCAACATTCGGTTGTCCCGTGAATTTCAGAGAATTTTCGACCAGAAAAAAAAAAAAAAGTTATTCTGTGTAATTAGTAGAAAATGGACACATTTTGGACATGACAAATTTATTCAGAAGATTCCTGCCCAACGTCTTATCTAAAAAAACAAAACACATTGTAGACTGCTAGCTAACATACAAAAATATGTGCTGCAATTTAATTTTCATTTTAATTTTCTCTTCTGGACATTTTATTCAAAAGTGTCCTAAGCCTAGAGGTAAGCAGAGCTGCAATGATTTTTAAAAGTAAACCTATAATTTGAGAATCGTAGTTGAACAAGGTTCTCTTTCACTCAAGCGATACTCCGCATAAATTAAGATAAATAAATACATCAATAAATAGATAAAACTAATAAAAAGTTAACTAAAACGAAACATTTTTGGAAAAAATGAAAACTAGCTTGTTCTAATGACAACGAGCTGACTTAAAAAAATTTAAATAGTCAAAATTAAATAAAAACAAACTATCATGAAAAATCCTAAACTATAATCGTGATTTAAACTCAAATGTGAGTCAGCACTCACCTGCCAATATTTAAGGTGCATTTTGATCACCATAAATTTCAGCTGTTCTGCTCAGCTTTTCCTGACCATCAATTAAGTGCTGTTTTACTTTGATTCCCCACGATTTTTTATTTTATTTTTTTTTTTTGCGAGGACATGTTATTGAGAGTGCAACTCTCAATATCCAAGGACGAGATAAAAACTTGATGCTGCTTACCTTTTGGATGCGATGAATATGTTTGTAGCCACTGTTGTCACTTTGCACTTTGTAGAAACTGATTTTATCTTCAGCAAAGAAAAGAGGTAATGGCCCATACTGGAAGTTGGAAAAAAAAATTGTTTTTACTTCAATATGCACAATAGTTACAGTCATGCTTCTAGTAGAAAACCACAATATTTCCTTTCTGTTGTGGCTGTTGTGAAATGCGCCGTCTAGATGAAGTTGGATGGGACTGCAAAACTTACATGGCCAACCCAGCCTGTTGGGCTCATCTGCTCGAATTTCTATACAGAATGGAGACAAAAAGGCTGTTTTTAATCAGCACGTTCAAATCACGTCATCTGTGAAGGGAAAGCAAAACGACCTCCTCATTTTCTTTCCATTTCCCTTCAATCAAGTCGTAAATCTGCACGAGCACGTAATTCTGCTTTCTGGTGACCCACTGCGCCGCGACACGCTGGTCTGTGACCCAGGTGACGGAATTCAAAATGTGATCCCTAAACACAAAGTGACAGGAAATTAAACACGCCGAGCCGGCTGCCGCTTTGTCAGGTTGGAAAATACAGACCCAGATCGAATGGAGGCAGGGGGTAGGATCACTTTGGCGGGGATGGACAAGTTATTCGTATCAACCACGAACAGTTTGACCTTCGTCAGATTTGAGCCCGCCTGCAAGGAAGTCACGATTAGAACATTCTTGACATACTGTACATGGTGTGGGGGGGCAAAGGGTGGTGGTGGGGGGGGTGCTATTCGCAGGAATCAGTTCACATGCGATTTCTTCGATGAGTGCCAGTTCGACCTCGAAATGCAGTCATTGGAATGCTTTCAATCCTACCTTTGGGTATGCAATAGCCATAGTTTCAGGGTACTGCGTCAGTCCGTAGAAGGAAAACTCCACTTTTTTCACTTTGGTGTCATCAAACTCGGCGTAGGCCAAGTATCGTCCAGTTGTTGACCACCACAAGGCTCCGTTTGATGCAAACACCTCCTCTAGAGTTACACAGACAAAAAAAAAAAAAAAAAAAAAAAAACAAAAAATAAATTCAAGGAAATAACACTTTTCAATACAGGGTAGCATTTTGTTTGAGCACATGGCAAATATTACCAAGCGCTGTAAAAAAAGTATATTTAAAATTGTTCGTTTTCCCCAAGTTCAATCAAAGCTGACCACTTCATGCAAAAGAATATAAATGTATCATCACTGTCCTCTGAAAAACGCCTGTCCGTTTTTGTCATTACAAAAAATTTATATTAATCTTGCGGAATGTAAATGATCATGAACGTAAAAAAAAAATATATACAATAAAAAGAAATAAAAATGGACATATGTGTTTTTCACAGAACAGCGACGATATAACTGCCGGTAATATAAAAGTAGTGCTTTGGTGTCATCTTTTGGCATCTTGTTCCTGATTGTAAAGTGTCCTTGAGTGTTTTGAAAGGTGCTTATAAATAAATGTATTATTATTATTATATTGCTGCCAAGCGAATAGGTTGAAGTGAGTTGAGGAGCTTCGTAGAGACAAAAGTAGTGCTTCAGTGCCATCTTGTGGAATGTTGATGTTAAGCAATAATTGTTGAAGGGTATTTCGGAGCCGCATGGAGACAAAAGTAGTGCTTTGCTGCCACCTTGTGGAATATTGGTGCCAAAGAATTATGTTTGAGTTGAGGAGCTTCCTGAGTATAAAAGTAGTACTTTGGAACCATTTTGCGGAATGTTGGTGGTGCCAAGGAACTACGTTCAAGAGAGTAAAGGAACTTCATGGTGACAAAAGTACAATGCAATGCAATGTTGAACTGAGTTGAGAAGCTCCATGGAGACAAAAGTACTGCTTTACTGCCACCTTGTCGAATAGTTGTGCCAAGGAATGTGAAAGCGAGAGAGATGATTCAGAAGAGTACTCAGATTTCCATATTTTAAATGCTGTGCACAGATTTTTTTTCAACATTTTTGGAACACCCTGTATGTGGTCAAATATTGCACAACTTCCAACACACACACACACACACACACACACACACACACACACACACACACACACACACACACACACACACACACGAAGGCTAAACTGCTGAATGTTCCTCACCCTCATACACCCAGTCAGGCACCCCATTGAGGATCTCATTCTTTTTCCCGTTGCTGGTGACTTGTACAGCTTCCGCAGTGATGTTCGCTTTGACGTAGACGTTGTAGTCGGCAACGTAAGCCTGCGTGACAGCAAGCACACGGCGCTGTTAGCTTGTTTGTGTGAAACACAAGCGTGGAAAGTTGGGAGGTCGCGGCGCCAACTCGCCATTTTGTTTCCCTCTGGCGCCCAGCTGAGGTACTGCACCACGGGCGGAAGACCCACATTTTCGACAAACGCCCTGCAGTGAAAACATCAAGCCGAATAAAATCACGGGAGACTTTCGGGAGTGAATTTCGAGTTGATCTGACAGTTTTTTTTTTAAACAGTGTAAATCACTTAAATACATAAAGCTTTCTTATTTTTCCACGTAACAAAAATGACTTTTCTTTCATGAGAAAAAAAGTCATTCCTTTCGGTACATGTTAAATATTGTAGTTACAAATCGATTCCCCCCCCCCCCCGAAAATCATGCAGCCCTAATTATTGTCCATTTTTGGTTCATGCCGATTGCACCCGGAAGTCCAATATCCCAAACTTTTGTATACCGTACGTTATGCTTCATTATGATTACAGAACAATAACAGCATTTTTTTTTTCTTGACACAAAGATGGCTACTTACCAACTCTTCAAGCTATAGAATGAGTAGGCGGCTGTGTACGAGTGTCTCCATTGCTGGTGGATGGCAAACAGACACACACAAAAACAAAACAAAAAAAAAAAACATTCTCAGATCCTTGTATTATTATTGTATTAATAGCGATACATTTCCCGGCACTGGCACAATATCATGGGGATCCAAACCAGGACCTGTTTTACTTTCTACACAGTAAAACAAAAACAAACAAAAAAACATTACTATTATTATTACTAATGCGGCAAAGTCAATTTTCACAACAGCAAAACTTAAAATATTTCTGTTCAATGGCCCATCTTAAAATTTGATCCAAGTTTGTTGCCTTATAATTGTTTGTTCACTTTCATTTTTTTTTCTTTTCCAAGTATGTATTTTGTCCATATAAAAAAAGCATTGTCATGCGTCTGGTTAGGAAGTGTGTGTGGTCCCACGTGCCCCACCCAAGTAGCACTGATGAAAAATTGGAGTTTGCCCTCCAATTTGCATTCGTCACATGCGAGATCGCTCACCTTTGTGAAATTGCTTTCTAGCGCGACATATTTGTGATCCCCCGACAACAGGTAGTCTGTGGCGCCCACCTCGTCCTACGAGACACAGACACCGTGAAAAAAAGCCATCGTATTCCAGGAGCGTTGGCTGTTAAATATGTTAGTTGAAATGATTCTAATACAAAGGTTGAATTGCTCAAGAATGGTGACTCTGTGTTGTTTTCCACATTGTAGCGGTAGACGTTCCCATCTCTGGCTTTGTGTAGATACTCGGTATCTGCAGGTGCGAGAATAACACATTTAGGAGGGTTCTGTTCTGACACCGGGCGGGGAAAGCGGCCGGCTTGCAAATGTTCTCCATACCTGTTATCCAGTACAGATTGTAGGATCTCCACCGAATTGTGTTATTGAAATAGTCTTCAAAGGTGTAAGGATTTTTCGGAGCTTCTGATTCTGAACAAAAATTAGGTGGGTTAGGAGGAGGGGTCGGGCGGGGGTGCATAGTTGACGTCACATAGCGCTGCTGTTGGGATGCAGTGGAAATCCCTTAAACCTAGGGCTGTCAAACTTTTTCTTTCAAAACACCCACATATCGACACATATTTAATATCAAGTGATTCTGACTTGATATGTGCAACATCTCTTGTAATATTACTTTTTTTTGCATCGAAGAAAAAAGATGTGTGCCTTTAAAAATAGTTTTATATTCTGTACTTGTTGCTGGACCATTTATGCTCATAGTTTCTGCAATATCGGTGCTAGTTTTGTTGGCCCATTTATGGTGTTTCAGATATGTTAGCATTAAGCTAACGGTCTTCAGTGCTTTGGTTATGCGTTTTGTTTAGTAGTTTGACAGTAAATTTCAACTGATGGTGGCAATAAAAGCTTGAAGCAAGTACCCTGGGTCTCTTGCCCGTTTAAGGGAACGCACAAAGCAATGCGGCCGCGCATGCAGGTGGTGCAGCAAATAACAAAAACATTGCATTCAGCATGAACAATGAATTCCAAATGTACTTACTACTTAAAAAAAACGCCGTCACGGTTACGACCGTGATGAAGGCAGCCGCCCCCAGCAGCGCCCACACCACTTGGCTTATGCAGCCCTGCGGAGGGTCACACCATAAGTGCTCTTTTTTCCACCCCCCCATTTAAAAGAAGTACATCAAATTTTCCCAAGTGATGCGCTCATACTGACCATGAAGCTGAAGAAGTTGACGTGCGCCTCTTCAAGGCTCCTCCGTGCTCCAAACTTGACCGACTAGTTGACACTCTCGCTCCCAATGTTTCATTGATTTTTTTATTTTTTTTTGTACGTTGAGCAAATGCTCGACGCGAGCCCCTAGCTCCAAACAAGAAGAAAAGTAAGCTCCGTCCCGCATGCGTGTTGTTGAAGCAGACTTCTCTCTTCCCGTCGCATTCCTAAGGAGAGCCCTGAACCAGACGCATGCCTTTCTGCAACGCCGCGTTTGCGAACACAAGGACCAACTCCACGCGCGCTCGCGCGCGCACGGATGTGGACTTTTTCTTTTTCTATGGATCGTCGTCTGTGTTTCGGTCCGTGCCGAGTCACGCGCGCGCGTTATCTGCAAATTTTGGGGATTGGTGTCAGCACGTCAGATTTTTATCAATCAGGCGCGTTTCACTCCGCGTCCAAGTGTGAACCGCTCCACCCTTAGAATGTCGACTCAAAAAGTGTCAGCTGTTTATTTGGGCAACGAACTTTATTATAAAGCGGTAAAAGTAATGGTAAATGGAGACAATGGAAAAGTAGGGGGGGATTGGGAGCTCAAAAATCCATAATTATTACATTACCAAAAAACCGTCCACTAAGCATTTTATACGAGAAAACGGGAATTAGCTTGCCGAAATCTCACAACCCGAAATCCCCCAAATATATCTATTGTATTGTAAACTTGTTTGTGTTTTCATTCATCTGTGCTTGATTTCAACAACGCCCCGCGTGCATCAATTATGAAAGCCATCATCAAGATCCCACCCCCCGTTTTTTTCTCTCTACTTGGGGCGTAAATTTTATTTTTTTTTAAATGCGAAAGTTAAGACATGTTTACTCACGTGGATTTGATGCATAAAAGTATTCACCATAAACCAGTCCAACCCTAGAAAAAGGATACACTCAATCGAATTTGATGAACTTGCTTTTTAAACATTAAAAAATTTTGTTCATTGTAAACTATTGTTCAGTTCTAAAGAAAGAACTAAACTGTTCTCCCAACTGTGAAGTTTTAGCAAAGCACCAGAGAACACCTTGTGGTATTTGTGTCATCACAAAGGCATGTCACTGACTCACAACCAACCACATTGGCTGTTCCGAAACCGCGATTGAGCAAAAAGCCTTGCTACACGTCCAACTAACATGAAGCCAGAGGGCGCTGACCTCACCCACTCTGTGACTTCCCAAGGTTTGCATTGTATTTTTTTTTTTTTTTGGTGGGGGGGTACATAGTTAGAAAAAAAGGGCACAGTCGGGATTCGTTTTATTTCTCCACTGCTTGTACAACTTTGTGTGATTTACCCTCCAAGGTTAAAATTGAACAAATAGGTACATTTCTCGCAGTCTGTCGAATGTCTTAACTGTCACTTTGGATTGAAGTTGCACATTGTGAACACAAAACTGTGACTTGTGTGAACTAAAGAACTAAGAAAAAAACATTTAAAAAACAAGAACAGAAATAAAAGCTGTCTTATTAAAATTACTAAAAGAACATACAAGACCGTTAAGGCATTATCAACAAACTGGTTGGGCAAAGTGCAGGCACCTCAACGTTATATATTCATGACATGTAATATATTTATGACACGATACACATCTAATTTTCACAAAGAAAGGCATTCAGTGATTTGAATGAGAAGAAGGCAGGATGACCTGTTCTGGTAAACCTGCGAAACAGCAGGAACAATAATCATAATCACTTATGTAGGCGTAAAAAGCAGGATTACACGGAATCATTTTCAACAAAAACTAGGCTGTGCTTATAACTTTCTGTTCTTCTTTAAAATATACATCGCCTCAAAACAATTTGTGTTCCGCCATCTAGTGGTCAAGAGTGCCAGTACAGCCCCAAATACGAGAGTCAGACCAAACCAGAGTCACTAGCGGATCTGCAAATACTTAACCTACGATGGAGATGCTTTTGCGATTTTTTTTTTTTCAGTTGTCGAGTGGCCTCTGAAACCTACATGATTCCAGCCTAATGATGAAACAAAAACAAAATCGATTAAAGCAAACTGCATTTATAGCAGTTTGATTAGTGTGTTATTCCATGACAAAAAAAAAAGTGCAAACTGTTGCAGTTCACTTCAGGCCTCTTCGTCGATGGACAACTGAGCCAAGCGGTTGGCGTGCTCGATGTAGTCGAATGCCTGGAACTTGGTGGGGAGCTCTCGCCACTTGGTGTAATTGCTGAACTTTTTTTCTTTGATCGTCACAACAAAGTTCTTCACATTAAGGCAGGGGCACTGGATTCCTCGGTACATCATCATCGCACCCCATTTCTGCAACACAAGGTTGGATGTGAATAACTCCACCCAAATTCCACCTGTATTAGAGTGATACAACATCTCTTAAAAAAATGAATGGCACATTTCCAAACGGGAAAACAAACAAAAAAATGAAAAATAAAAACTGTGAAATATATTTTACCAGCCCACAGTCCTTGCATACGAGGGAGCCATTCATTTCATAGTCAAGAAGTCGTTCCTGAAGAGCAGTGTTTTCTTTCTGAATGAAAAGCTCTCTAGAAGGAAATTGTAATGAATGTGAAAAATCCCGCTGACAACATGCAAGCACAGTAAAACCTTTTGCATAAAATTGAGAAGAAAAAAACACTTTGAAAGTGTGTAAAGCGCTAAATGTCTGAAATAATGATCTCCATGGGTGGTTTTTGGCTTTTGCCACAGAAAAAAAAACAAGTTTCAATCAATAGCCATTTTAGGAAAATCAACAATTTCTACCTAAACTGTGATGAAACATTGACGTGGTGCATGTCTTCAATGATGTGGATGTCGTCACCAGTGCAGACAAACTTGCTGCAATGTCGGCAACTTAACTTCACTTCTGACGGAAGCTCATTCTTGGCGGGTTTTTTGGTTGTCATTCTCATCTTGTCCTCAAGAATAGCCTGAATTTGAAATCCTTCGATCTAAGGTAAAAGAAAATAAAAACGGCTGAAAACAATCTCATTGTGATGTCGGGGAAACAGTTTGGAGGAGGCCTACCTTGGTGCGATATTCAGCAGGATCTAATGCTCGGATTCTGGCAATGGCGTCGGTCATTAATTTCACGCGGTACTCATTGACACTTTCCTTCTCCGTCACCCCAGAGCCTTTCACTTCAATCACGATGTAATTGCTGTTCTTAGCTCGAGCTCTGCCTCGAGCCTACAGAAGGGAATACGAGTATGGACAAGCGACAACCTTTGAAGCTTTCTCACCGTCTAGTTGAATGCAACTGATGACATGTTGTGCTCCCGAGTGGTAATAGTCGTCATCCGTAGGCATGAAACACAAATTGTGGCCCGCTCCGTTCTTTGACCTGGCAAACTGAGCATTTACCTTGTCCTGTACTCTGAGCATTAATTTTGAAGTTTATTTGGCCTACTGTTACTACGGCTATTTGTTTGGTCGATTGAAAGCATGTAGAGATTTAAACAATAGGGGTCTCAGGATTGAGCCCTGGGGAACCCCACAGGTCACGGCCATTTGATCTGAGACAGTCGCCAATGAACTTGATCCGGTTTAGAGCAGCTCCAGATAGTTCCACCTCTGTGTGTTAAGATCACTAACCTGTATCATAGCAATCTCGTTGGTCACGAGGCCGTAGCAGATGACAAAGTTGCACGCCGGTATGTCCAAACCTTCCTGTGCCACCGAGGTGGCGATCAGCAAGTTGACAGCACCACTGCGGAATTTGCTCAGCACATCCTTCTGCTCAGCCTGATGAACACAAATAGCTACAAATCACTGGGATAGGCATGGCGCTCACGTGATGTCAATGCGGTCTTTGTGTTCTCACAGGCGTCATCGGTTTGACAACACTCTGGTCTCCGCCTCCGATGACATACGACACTTTGACGCCAACGTCGCCAAACTTGGGGTTCTCCTGAATCCAGTGACTGAGAGCGATGGCGCTTTGTCGCATTTTGGTGAAAACGATTCCCCTGGCATCCTCCCTGGTGGTGAACTGGTACAGAACATTTGTTTGGAGTTTTGACAAGCTGTCGTTTTCGTAAGATTGGTTCTGAGAAAGCTTCTCGAGTTCCTCCTTGTTGTCTGGAAAAAAACACAGCGATGCGCAGTTTACGCTCACTCACCATAGACATGAAGCTCACACCCTTTCAGGTTTATGCTACGTTCAGCAACACTGCTCTGATACCTTGGAATAAATTGAAGAGGACTCGCTCAGTATCGGTAATGTTGATGACGTGATCCTCGTCGGGGCTGGTTTTACTCTTCATCTCTTCCTTGTGTTTTTTTTCCAGGAAACGGAAGGCGTCACGCATGCGAATGGTGTTGCTGACGATCAGGGCGTCGTTGTATCGTCGAAGGTGCTCCATGCAAATCCGCACTTCCTGAGCTTCCTCTTTGGCGGCTGAAAAGAAGTCACGGTGAGCAAGAAAAAAAAAGAGACGAAAGCCATGTGGAGTTGCTCACCTTGTTGCTCGGATTGGACCACCCATTGTTCATAGTTCTGAGAGCCGAGCTCAGAGGTGGGGCTCAGGTTGGCGTAAATGTGAATCACATTCATGATATTCTTGATGACATCACCAAACGGGTCCTGTAAAATGGATGTGGGTGTGGCGCAAACATCAGGCTCGCGACAATAACGCAGAAAAGCTGATTTTTGGCGGACCCGACCTTTTCTTTGTCTTCAACAAGAACAATTTTTTTCTCTGGCTCATTGCTGTAATTCTTGAGATTCCCAGTCTGGATTTGGGAGGCATCCAAGTTAGCACAAATCTGCAAAAAGAATGGGTGTGTCGGCTCGTAAATAATTTTGATGAATGTTATCTGACGCGCTATTTTGTACCGACACAAGCCAAAAAGGTGTTTTCAGTTTGAACTGGTATGTCAGTGAAAACACTTAATAGCTGCACATGTGATCGGTGGAACATTAGAAACAGCTTGTTGGAGACTTTTCGACAGACAAGCGCAGTAGGACGTCTGAAGTCGAACGCGGCTGAAGTTAGCGGTGCGGTTCTGCATACTGCTGTTATGCTTTTGCATATTTTGTGAGAATTACGGAAAACAATCTTCTTATCCCACAAAACTGTGAAGATCAACTTCACAATTTTTTTTTTTTTTTAATTTTGGTTTCAATGTGTTTTTATTCAAAGGGTACCGATTGGGGCTAAAAGAAAGATGTGATGATGGTCTCCCAACCGAAAATGGGACAGACTGTGACAATGAAATGATGTCGAACGATTAAAAAAAAAAAAAACAACAAACAAATTTCCATCACCGTGCATAGTGTACTGACCTGCAAAATGTTTTTCTCCGCCGTCTTCAGTTTTGTGGCGTCGCCGACCCCCAGTGAGGCCGTCATCCCCAGGATCTGAGGTAGAGGCACTATCTCCTTCTGCTCCTTCTTCAACATCCTGTTCCTGTTCTTTTGCTTCAGGTAACGCATCATCACTCGGTTGTAGACCTCCCCCTTCTTAGTGTGATGGCACTCGTCGATTATAATCAGGGTGATATCTGGGAAGATAAGACAAAGACAGAAACTAATGCATTCAGAAACTGAAATGCTGACTGCTTGAGGGGCAGATGGGATGAAGGTTTTTGGCCTCGGTTGAGGTCTACTCGTTTACTGAACGCACTTTGCTTTAATCTGAGAAAAAAAAATACACTTCTGGGACAATTCTGTGCCATTTTGACTGCAAATGTTCATTTGTTACATAAAATATCGATATATCATGTTAAATCGTATGATGGAATTAATTTAACAGCGGGTGGTTAAATGCGAGCGCTCACGACTCTCCTCCGTAACTCTATTTCAAATCTAATCATGTCAACAAGTCAAGCGCTGTGATGTCAACGGATCCCCGGAGGAAGCAAAGAGCGGCGGCGTGATGTTTTGTAGGTGATAGATGTTCTCATGTGAATTTTGTCAGCCACACACTGATGGCTTGAACAGACGCGGGAAGTGGAAACCGGCGGGGGGGAGAAATTAAAGGATTCAAAATAAAGAAATAAATAGAAAAGCAAAACGCTTTCAGGCGTTTCGACAAACAGCATATGTTCCACTTAGGTGGCTATGCCACCTTGGACTGTTGAGTGCCAACAAAAGCCGGAAGACTTTGACAAGATCCTGTCAGGCATCGTCGTGGGAGAGGCTCCGTGTCCTCTGGGTGGCTTACTATGACTAAACATATCAGTATGTCGCACTTTTCATTTTCCAGGTAAATGTTTTACGGAATATAGCGGATGTAATTTAGCTTTGTGCTATTTATTCAACCCGCTTTGCTCTGATCAAGATGAATGAGAAAAGGCAAAGTGGTACAAACTCAATTGTTGATGAATTCCAAAGAACCGCGAGCCTTTCAGTGGGGTTTGCAAATTTGAGGACGTGGATTCAGATATGTCGCAAAATGAATACGACCATCGCTCGCAAAGAGTCGTCGTGACTCCGCAAACATCAACAGATCACGTAGCGCCAGCTAGCAACATGTTTCTGGCAGCAAAAATTGTACATCTGCCTTTGCTTGTGGATGTGTGAAAGGAATTCAGAAATCAAAAAAAGAGGGAAAAATGAGAAGAATGAAGCTGAAAAGTTTACCCTCGGGTCATGTTATTCCAGGGATGGCGCTACACCGGGGCGAGAGGGGAGCTATAACCCCATCAGAAATCTGTTTAGCCCGAGTTAAGACCCTCCAAGATTTTATTTGCTATCCAAGAATATAGAATATATAATAAATGATTTTCTATCTCGTTCTCGGGCTCCCTATGTATCGCCATGCCTCACTTTAGCCCCGGGAGAGAAAAAAAATTCTTTACAAAGCCGAACAGTCGCGGTTTATTGAAATAATTCGATATTTGATATCTTGAAACGAGCTAAATTTAATCAAGGAGAATGAGGACCACATCTGCAACGGTAATATGTTATCCGCTTCGTACACGCTGTTGAGTTGCGGTCATGACTCTGCATTCGCCCAACAGACTAATGAGCACGATCAGTGAAAGGTTTTAGAATTAAGTGTTCATTTATAGCCTGCGATTTTTTATACAACTACAACAATGTTTTTTTAATTAATTTTTTTTTGGGGGGGGGGGGGTGTCACCCAACTAAAGTAGCCTTGACCGAGGCAGCAACTTTTGCCATTTTATTGAAGCTAAGCTAGCTAAATTTGTCTGGTTAATAGCATCAGGATAGAATAGCTTGTATCTTAGCTCACAAATCTTCCAAGCAGCCTGCCCCAAAACTAGCTAGTAAGGTATAACAACCTTTGCTCGATTTAACATTGCGGAATTCCTTGCGCTGCAACGGAGGCAAGCTGAAAAGAAAGCCGTTTGAAATCCTACCCTTGAGATGCACTCCCTCGTCCTCTCCTTTGACCGACCGCTCCAAGTAATTTTCCAGAATCTGGGCTGTGCAAATGACGACGTCGTTTTTCTTCACAATCTCTGTGAAAGAGATTTTGAGCATCGATTTTCCACTCACTCGTTCCACTTTGTACGCGTGCTTCAAAAAGCGATGGAACTCGGTGGCATAATGCTGCTCGACCAGGGGAACCTGTGGACCAACACCAAAGACGCAGCTTCTCACTAAATGCATGCCATTTTCACATCGATTTCTTTGTTTTTCTAAATTAAAAAAAATATATAATAATTTCCCATTATTTTTTCAAGTTCACGTTCAATGGGAATCTTAAACCCAAAGTGGGATGTATTTGGCGAAATGTAATGTTAATATCGGAGGCAGCTGGTTTTAAAACACATTCAGCAGTTCATATCGCAGGGCCATTTTCCGACATTTTCTTTTGATTAGGCAGAAAGGAAGTGGAATTGCATACAAACACAATTTCTGAGGCGGTTTCAGAGCTACAAAGCCATTAATCTGAAACGCAGCAAGTTGGGATTTTCTTTCTTCATTTTTTCCACAGTACAACCGTTCCCACACATGCCAGACAGGAAAAGCGTGCAGGGAAACCTTACGGCATGTAATTTGTGGTGAACTGACCCACATGTGCACGCTGAATGAAAACGAGAATGTTTTCTTTGGAGAGGAGCATGGGGGAGGGGGGGGGCGTAGGGGGGGGACTGGGTCAATGATAGAATGTTGTAAAGATGCAAATGGAATATACCTCCTGCTTCTACGCTTCACTCAACTTTATTTTCGTACCGTGTTCACCAGGATGACCACTTTGCCTGTTTTCCCCTCTGCCCTCCTGTGGTCCAGATGCTCGCGGGTAATATAAACCGCGACCCTGGTTTTACCACTTCCGGTGGGGAGGCATATGATGATGTTTTTCCCCTCCAAGGCAGGTTTAGCCACGTCCATCTGATAGTCTCGAAGAACAATATCAGCTTTATCTGAGCCTCCGGCAGCCGTGCCCGGGTCACACGTTTCTGTAATGCAGACAGGCTGAATCATTTGGTCAGCAAAGCACAATTAGTGGAATAATAATACTCAGGAAGAGAAGGCTATTGTTCTTGTTTTTTTTAGGTTGTTTTTAAATCACATTTTTGCCTCAGTGTTGATATTGAAGAGCGTCTATTGAAATGGCATCAAAAATCGGTTACATTTGTGAGCTCTCAAACTCCGTGGGGGTGTCCACTCTAAAGCAGCCATGCCAGCACAAAGCCCCTGTCCAAATGTTGCCGGTCACACTTTTTTTTTTAACCCCAACTCTTCTACTTTGTCTTAGCGACGTGCGCTCGCTGCAGCTGACAACGAGGCGCTCTAAAGCGGCCACACTAAGCCCAAATCCCGACTCCACACGGTGACTGTCAAGTCTTTTTTTTTTCCCCAACCTCCTCGCTATTTCATCTTTCTCTGCATGACGAGCGCGCTTTTCACGAGCCACGATGGGGCGCTCTAAAGCAGCCACAGTTTGCTTTGGAATCACCGTACTAAGTCAAAGCACAGGCAGATTACGGAAGTAAATATCAATGCGGAGACTCGCCACTCTTCTACATACACGTACTTTGATGTGCAGCAAAAGCATGTGGACGTCTGGAGCAAATGTTGCTTCAGCGCAAATTCAAAGGCTTCCACAATCCCAAACAATAAGTAGCGCAGTCAGTGAAATGTGAGCCAATACAAGTTCCTAAAATGTTCCAGGAAATGTGAGGCACCACATTTTTTTTTTCCTGCAAAGCTTAACATCTGCATGTGATTATCAGACACCTCCATTTCCCAGCAAACTTGCGAGTGGATGATTTCATCACCCTTTGCTAATGTCGCCATGTAGGGCGATCCACTTGAGGCAGATGCTTCTAATTCGTTTGCAACTCAGGAAGCATGTGTGATACCCCCCACCCCGCCCCCGCCTTCTCTGTGCTACTTGTTCTCGTCAGCTCTACATGTCCCCCAGTTATGAGTTCAACCTCCCGCAGAGGTTTGTCCTCAGCGCAGTCATCGTCTGTCTCGGGGATCACATGCGAGTGGCGTTATAAGCAACCTTGGCATGTGAGCCGTAAATGTAGTTGGAAATGAGTTTGGAGAGCATCTTTATTTAGCCTTCCACACTGAAAAATGCCTTTTAGGTTCATCGTAAAATTCCACCCGAAATCCAAATATCCCGAACTTTTTGTGTGTGTAAAGAAGGCAAAGGAAAACGATTGAGTAAAAAGTGGTGAAGGCACGATATTGGCGGCAATATGTAAAAGAGACTTCCAATGAATGGGCAGTGATCTGCCGATATTGAGCCAACATATGTTTTTCATTTGACGCACTGACTATGCTCTGCCTTCTTTAACCTCGGCGTGCTTCATCACCGTACACACATGAAACGCATTATTTGGTCGGGACCGCCGAGATGCTCGCAGCTCCTCAAAAGTCGTTGACTGTTCACAAGTCCGATTCCCATTCAAACTGCTCTGAGTTCGCCCTAGTGCGTGTGAGCCCCGTTCTCGGCAAACGTAAACACGCAGGGGACGTTGTGAACGCGAGCAAAGAGCCTGCAGTCGAGAGGGCGTGAGTGCGAATTGGTCCCACCTGCTGGTAACCGCTCGACTCCGCCGCTTAACTCGTGTGTGGCGTCTTCACGTGAGCATTCACCCCGGCACAAGTCTGAGAAGATAACGTAGGCGAAGTGAAGAAGCCTGTTGCGTAGCTTGTTGCAGAAATGCTTTGCCACATCCAATACATTTGGAAATGATATGCAGTTTAGACTAAGAACATATTGGTCAACTGACGAGCTCTTTAAAGAGGCGGTACCTGTGATGTCATCCTCATTGTCCTTCTGATCCAAAAGTTGACATGGAGAACTTTCTGGACTTTTTTTCACTGGGTCACTTCCTGTAGTCTCATCTTGTGTTCAGGGAGGCGGCGACAAGACAAATGTCTCATTAAAATGTTTCGGTACGTTTCTGAAAAGAGACATTCGTCTAATCGTGGTTCACTATTCACAAATTCAATGATTCAGATGTTTGTTTTTTTTTTTTTTGTGGAACCTGCGAGATGAAAACACCAGTTTTCATAGTTTTGGGTTCTTCCTGTAATTTCCTGGTGGGCCACAAGAGAGCGCCAAAGTCAAGGCTGATTTGAAAGTCCTCATTGGCGTCCAAAAAGTACTGTTGCAGTGATACATTTCTATTGAGACATTAAGATCTTTGAATGTTAAGGGAGGAGCTATGTTAAGTCTGGACTGGAGGTTACAAAATTCTTTGCTGCATGTACATTCTAGTGCATTTTTAAAATCATCTCAAGTATATGCAGTTTTTTTTTTTTTTTTTTTAAGGCGTACAGATTTAAATGACAAAATGTTTTGAGATTTTTTACATTGTTAATGGTGGTTCAAACAAAATGTTTTGAGATTTTTTTACATTGTTAATGGTGGTTCAAACTATTAATAGTGGCTGTTATGACATTTTAGGAGAAGACATTATTATTTCTCTGTTCGAGTCCCCAAGGTTTACTGCACAGCATAGGTGTCAAACCTCCGGTCGTCGAGAGCCGCTTTCCTGTATGCTTTTGATCCCTCCCTGCTGCAACGCATCCGATTCAAATGATCAGCTCATCAGCAAGCTCTACAGGAGCCTGCTAATGATCCTGATCATTTGAATCAGGCGTGTGGGAACAGGAAGAGATGGAAAACACGCAGGATAACGCCCCCCCAGGGACCAGCGTTTTGACACCTGTATTGTACAGTATTGAGTGATGCGTGTGCACGCCTAGTGGTTACCTGTGGTATCGCAGGCAGAGGAGCCTCCCATCAGTTTGTACAAGTCCACATGTTCGGTGTCAAACAGAATTTGGACAAACTCAGAGTACCATCCCGGGGGACATCTCACAATTCTTTTCAGAAGTTCACGAGCAGCGTCTCTGAGTCCTTGATTGTCTGCTAAGTGAAGAATCTGGAGTATGAACCGCAAGAGAGATGGCCTCTTAGAACGAAGTGATCAGTTAAAATCATTTTACGATAGTATTTCTGTTGCTTGTTATTGTATTAGCATGTATGTATTCATGTCATAATATTGTAATATCTGTTTCTGGTATTTGTGTGACGTCATAGAAAGGGGAGGCGCCAGGTTGGGGGGATATTGGCTCCGGCAGTGAGTCTGAGTGTGGAGCGCATGGGCGAGAGTTGTGGCTAACAGCAACTCCTATGAATGTGTGTGTTATTGCTCTTTTGTCTATTAAAAAAAGACAGATTGCATCAGCGACGGCGTGCATCCTTCTTTACGCATTGAAGGGCATTACAATATAACACTGTATTGAGTATCGTATTTGTATACATTTAATGCTATTTGTATTTACAGTTGTGTTGACAGTTTAATTGTGTCGGCGTCTCGGTGCGCAATAGAGTAACTACATAGCAGCGTTTTTGTCTGCTATCATGTGGTCAGGACAGAATTTGACGTCGCGCCGTAAATTTTGACAGCTCACAGAACAAATACCAGTCCAAAAACACATAAAAAAATTTAAAAATACAATCCAAACGGGTACTCACTTCATCTCGGTCGTCCTTGGTGATAAGTTTGCGCGAAAAACAGTGCATGCACACCTCTTTCGTGTTCATTCCCACCAGACTGGGCACCAGGATGTCAATCATTCGCATGCAGTTATCGTTTTTAGCCTCCACCTCGGGGTCGGGTAACTTTTGCCGCAAGTAGAGCCTGCTAATGATCCTGATCATTTGAATCAGGCGTGTGGGAACAGGAAGAGATGGAAAACACGCAGGATAACGCCCCCCCAGGGACCAGCGTTTTGACACCTGTATTGTACAGTATTGAGTGATGCGTGTGCACGCCTAGTGGTTACCTGTGGTATCGCAGGCAGAGGAGCCTCCCATCAGTTTGTACAAGTCCACATGTTCGGTGTCAAACAGAATTTGGACAAACTCAGAGTACCATCCCGGGGGACATCTCACAATTCTTTTCAGAAGTTCACGAGCAGCGTCTCTGAGTCCTTGATTGTCTGCTAAGTGAAGAATCTGGAGTATGAACCGCAAGAGAGATGGCCTCTTAGAACGAAGTGATCAGTTAAAATCATTTTACGATAGTATTTCTGTTGCTTGTTATTGTATTAGCATGTATGTATTCATGTCATAATATTGTAATATCTGTTTCTGGTATTTGTGTGACGTCATAGAAAGGGGAGGCGCCAGGTTGGGGGGATATTGGCTCCGGCAGTGAGTCTGAGTGTGGAGCGCATGGGCGAGAGTTGTGGCTAACAGCAACTCCTATGAATGTGTGTGTTATTGCTCTTTTGTCTATTAAAAAAAGACAGATTGCATCAGCGACGGCGTGCATCCTTCTTTACGCATTGAAGGGCATTACAATATAACACTGTATTGAGTATCGTATTTGTATACATTTAATGCTATTTGTATTTACAGTTGTGTTGACAGTTTAATTGTGTCGGCGTCTCGGTGCGCAATAGAGTAACTACATAGCAGCGTTTTTGTCTGCTATCATGTGGTCAGGACAGAATTTGACGTCGCGCCGTAAATTTTGACAGCTCACAGAACAAATACCAGTCCAAAAACACATAAAAAAATTTAAAAATACAATCCAAACGGGTACTCACTTCATCTCGGTCGTCCTTGGTGATAAGTTTGCGCGAAAAACAGTGCATGCACACCTCTTTCGTGTTCATTCCCACCAGACTGGGCACCAGGATGTCAATCATTCGCATGCAGTTATCGTTTTTAGCCTCCACCTCGGGGTCGGGTAACTTTTGCCGCAAGTAGTTGGCCGCCTGTCGGCATTCGGCGTTGGACAAGGCGTCCACGAAGGCCTGGAACCAGCCCGCCGGGTGCGGTTTGCGGAGGACGGCGCCGATCAGGACGTCTACCGCCGCCGAGTTGCCATCGTTCCGGGCCCTTTGTCGGACGCGTTCCTTCTCCTCCGGTTCGAGGAAATGCAGGAGGTCCAGAACGGGCTGCACTGCGACGTACGTTCGGAGCCTCGGCCGAAAGCTTTCGATGAGATTCTCATGGATTAAGTCGTCCCCATCCACCGCCATGGTTCAAACTCTGCTCAATCGACACAGGATCCGATCCCAATGTTTCTTTTCTGACAAAACGAAAGTGAAACTTCCGTTTTGCCATCATTCTGCCCAGTACTTCGCTCAATCGAGAGATGGCAGCATTTAGTGATGTGTCGGTCGCGAACGAGCCGGTACAAAAGAGCCGGCTCTTTGAAGTGAACGATGAGAGCCGGCACGCTCCCTCGAGAGCCGGCTCTGTCATTTTCTTTCTGTCATTCTCTCTCTCTCTCTCTCTCTCTCTCTCTCTCTCTCTCTCTCTCTCTCTCTCTCTTTCACGTGTCTGAAGCGAGGTTTGTTCAGTGGCTCAGCTGCGGTGCTCAGAGAGGTAGACCAGAAGACACAGGGGAGGGGCGAGGGGCTTGGTGGGGACTGCCCGGAGTGCACGCTGAGCACATGCTCCGTCGGTCTGCGCAGCCACAGACACACCATGTGTAGTCAGGCGTTTTAAGCCGAAAAAAACGACCATGTATAGGAAGGCGTTTTTAGCCGAAAAAAACGACCATGTATAGGAAGGCGTTTTTAGCCGAAAAAAACGACCATGTATAGGAAGGCGTTTTTAGCCGAAAAAAACGACCATGTATAGGAAGGCGTTTTTAGCCGAAAAAAACGACCATGTATAGGAAGGCGTTTTTAGCCGAAAAAAACGACCATGTATAGGAAGGCGTTTTTAGCCGAAAAAAACGACCATGTATAGGAAGGCGTTTTTAGCCGAAAAAAACGACCATGTATAGGAAGGCGTTTTTAGCCGAAAAAAACGACCATGTATAGGAAGGCGTTTTTAGCCGAAAAAAACGACCATGTATAGGAAGGCGTTTTTAGCCGAAAAAAACGACCATGTATAGGAAGGCGTTTTTAGCCGAAAAAAACGACCATGTATAGGAAGGCGTTTTTAGCCGAAAAAAACGACCATGTATAGGAAGGCGTTTTTAGCCGAAAAAAACGACCATGTATAGTAAGGCGGTTTTAGCCAAGAAAAAAAACGACCGTGAAGAGTAAGGCGTTTTTAGCCGAGAAAAACCACAATGTATAGTAAGGCGGTTTTAGCCGAAAAAAAAACACCATGGATAGAAAGGTGTTTTTTGCCGAAAAAAACGACCATGTATAGTCAGGCATTTTTAGCCGAAAAAAACGACCATGTATAGTAAGGCGTTTTTAGCCGAAAAAAAACACCATGTGTAGTAAGGCGTTTTTAGCTGAAAAAAAACCATGATGTTTAGGAAGAGGTTTTTTGCCGAAAAAAACCACGATGTTTAGGAAGGCCTTTTTAGCCGAAAAAAACCACCATGTATAGTATGGCATTTTTAGCCGAGAAAAAACACCATGTGTAGTAAGGCGTTTTTTTGCCGAAAAAAAACGACCATGTATAGTAAGGCATTTTTTGCTGAAAAAAAACACCATGTATAGTCAGGCGTTTTTTGCCGAAAAAAACCACCATGTATAGTAAGGCGTTTTTTGCCGAAAAAAAACGACCATGTAAAGTAAGCCGTTTTTTGCCGGAAAAAACGGCCATGTATAGTCAGGCGTTTTTTGCCGAAAAAAGTTGAAAAAAAAGACCATGTATAGTAAGGCGTTTTTTTTGCCGAAAAAAAACGCCCATGTATAGTAAGGCGTTTCTAGCCAAAAAAAACGACCATGTATAGTAAGGCGTTTTTAGCCAAAAAAACGACCATGTATAGTAAGGCGTTTTGACGCAAAAATAAT